TTTTTCTCGAGTGTTTTTAATTATCTCGAAAATAACTTTCAGTTTAATAACAATAAATTTCAATATTCGAATGGAATGGAGTTTTGCATACAAGACATAGAGTTAGATACTCTTTTTAGCGATTTCTTAGTCTTTCACAGTTTTTGCGTAGTTGAAAAATTATTTAAGCCATGAGGAAATATAGATGAACTCCTTAAAAAGTGGTACTTTTACAAAGTATGAGAGGACCTTAAGAACAAAGTTTGTTTCCTTGCGCAAAGAGAGAAATCGGCTTCTAATTACAATTTTTGAAAGTGAACTTCAAATTAAAAGTAATTTTAAAATGAAATGTATAGAATTCTTTGAATATTAAAACACTGAAAATGGGAATGATCTCATTATTGCTATTCAAAAATGTCATAAATATAAAATAATTTATTGGCTCCTTTGTACGATGATATGAGAGGGCAAGTGGGCAAAGTGCGCTATGTAAATTTTTTTTGGATTTTAGTTTTTGGTGGTTAACGTACCAGTATTTAAAGTAGTTTCATGTCCACTAACAATGCAGTGCAAAATCCTTATATATTCTGAAAAAAATAGCATCAAATGTTAGCTACTCTAGCAAAAGTCGCTATAACACTTACTGTATGTATATATACACTTTCAAAAGTCGCTATAATATTTATTGTACGTTTTTATACAAGTTCAAAACCTTCATGGAAGAGAGAACGCGAAAAAGCTTAAAAAAGCTGGCTATATAAAACTTACTGTTTCCAAACTCGCTATATTTAATTTATATACATATATAAAATTGGCAAAAACTACCACATTGCGATTTTGATTTTTAATGTTATTAGGCTCTTATTTATCCAAATTTTCAGATAATAAAAAGAAATACATATACAATTTGGATGATACTTGTTGTTGTAGACGTTTTTTTTTTTTAAATTTATGGCTTACTATTATAAAATCACTTACTGGCTTACTATTATAAAAAAACGTTTTATAAAAAAAAAGTATTTTTTCCTTTTGAATGTTTTTTCTCAGATTCATACATACGAAATATACAAATTGCATATCAGAAGAAAGCGGGTTTAATCACGTTTGTGACGATATTAATTTTGTTTAAATTAGTTCTTTAATTTTTCGAAGACCTGACCTTTGACCCCTTATAGCACCTGTAACATAGAAAAAGTTATATTGTTTTGTTGTTATTATGTTTTTACTTTTTTTAGTTTAGTTTACATACAGTAATTTAAAATAATTGTTTACCAAAGGTCCAATTTCGAACTTCGAACGGAGAAATTACTTACCTATGACTCAATCTCTTAAAAAAAAAAATGGTTTGGTCCAATACCCAGAAAAAAAAGTTGATTTACAGTGTTATTGCTATTCAAAAAGTCACAAATATAAAATAATTTATTGGCTCCTGTGTGTAGTGATGTGTACACTCATGTTAAAATGAATAACACTTCTATTTTTTATGAACTATATTTTATTTACTATATACCAAAATATTGTCAAAAACAAGTTCTCCGGCGTTTTAAATTATTTTCTGTTGCTTACATTCATAATTTTGCTTTGAATAAAAATGTACTGAAAAGTACTGATTTTTTTTTAGCATGAAAAAGTCTAATGTACTGATTTCGCGCATAAAATATCTGGCAACCCTAATTTACAAGAATAAAAATACAGTTTGAAAACTCTTCACTTACTCCAGTATTTTTTGCACTATTTTATTTTTGTTCGATCAGAACACTATATTGTTACCTTAGAGCGTGTGTGAATCGGTAACAAAGTTCGCGGCGAGTAAATTTTTGACAACTATGAGGTGAATAAAATTGCAATAGCTCATAAGGCTAGTGAAATTTTTGACAAATGCATAGAAAATTTTGACAATCGCAAAGATTGTTGACTTGTGTAATTTTTCGTTAAATAAAAGCTTAAATTGAGGAATTTCAATCAACGTTGGTAGATGTTTTCTTAAAATATTAATTTCACTTTAATTTGTAATATTTTATTTGGCATAAATATGCGGTTAGCAAAAATCTACTGCTGCCAAAAAATATTTAATTTCACACAGCAGATTGGCAAAACTGTCTCATCATAGTAAAAATATTATTCAACAGCTTTCCCATAGAACTTTGTTACCGATTCACACACACTCTTAATTTACAAAAGCCCTAACTTGAAAATTTCTTATTTTACAGGAGAAGCAAAAAACAGTATCAAAAACAGGTAAAGGTTTAAAAAAGTAGTATGTAACTCCGTTGTTTTTGGTACTAACATTTTAAAATTTTTATTGACGATGTATTTTAAAATATATCCTACCAAAGTCTGTGGAAAAAGCAATTTCGAAAAAAGTGTTATTTAGGGTCATTGCGAATTAAGGTAACGATATACATACATACATAAATATTTTGATACCACCGCAAGCATTACCATGCTTTTAATTTACATTAGACGAATATCTTTTCCATAAATGTCAATTATAGTTAATCTCAAAATACTTACGAATTCATATTGATTAAAATACTTAAAAAAAATGTATTTGAAATATAATTCCAACGAACTGGGGCCTATTTCATAAAGTGACAGTGACAATTTTGTCACCACAGGTACTTTCCGTATTGTCAGTGACAATTGGTGGGTGTTTTGTTTCATAAAAACTCTTGGTTTCAGTTCCATTAAGAAATTACGAAATTGTCGTTGTCGGGTTTTCAAATTGCCGTTGACAAAACTGTCGCCAGTCAATAGAAATTTATATCTAATTCATATATAATAAATGCATTTGCATTATTTTATTTTTTACAAATATTCAAATCTTTGAAAAGTATGGAAATGCGCGCAATTATAATATTAACAAATTTACAAAATTCTCCCGCGAAAACTTTCCGCTGGAGCTATTTAGTTTTGTCGCTATGGTCGCGACAATTTCATCAGAGTGACTATTGTCAGACAATTGTCGACAGTATTCCAGTATTGTCACTGTCACCTTCCAAAAATTGTCACAGTTAAATAAACGCGTCTATGAAACAGGAAAAATGTCGCCGACAATTCTTGCGCAAAAATTTTTCAGAAAAATCGACAATTGTCGCACCTGTCGCTTTTATAAAATAAATATAATTTGTTGAAACTTCTTTAGAAAAACGAATTGTCAGAAGAGATTTAACGATTACACTGGATCTTAAATTTCAGTTTTGTTATTGTTCTAAAGACTCCATTATCCAATTCCTTTGTAAAATTTCTTGGCGATTCTGAAAATCGAGTTAATTTTTTTCTCTATGGATTTTCTCAGAAACTATCAGGCCTATCGAAAAGTGATGTATGTACGGGTTATGGAGACTTTCATTGGCTTTAATTTTCTGTATTTCGTATTACGATTATTCAAGTGTTTCGTAAGATACACCTGATTAAGTGGAACCACTCTTTTTTTTTTTTAGCTGAATAACGGTAAATTGCAAATATCTCGAAAACGTATCCATAGAAAAAAAAACTAACTCGATTTTCGGAATCACCGAGCAATTCTACTTAGAAATTGGATAGTGGCATCTATTGAACACTTTTGGTGTAAACCAGTGTTACCAATCAAGGTTAAAGCAGTTAAGTTTTTTCAAAGCCAGTGCAGAATTAGACTGTACTGGTTCATAAAATAAACATAAAATGGCATCACATTACTAATAATACCCGCTTAAATAGAAAGCTATGGCAAGTCGGTAAATACATTGGGTTGGGTCGCGAACGAAAACTTTATAATTACAAGCAATTCTAATATGAACATAGCCTTAAAAATACAGTACAGCTAGCTTAATTATTTAACAATACAGTTCTTTTTACTTAAGGTAATATGTACATACATACATATGCACATACGTACGAGCACTTAAGTAGTACGTAGAGTATATGTATATTCATTCTACGGACAGTAGGCGTTTGGTCCATTTCGACACTTCATTAACATATTTAACATGCCCTCAAGTCGATTAGTGCGCGACTCTGTCGCATAAAGATTAGACTGCAGTCGATTTATGTCCTGTTGTTGTTTTTCCTATAAGTGCATGTACATTTATGTATAAAATATTTTTAAGCATTTTCGAATGTATGAACTTACAATTGTGCTTAGGCGAGTTTTCAGGGTATCCACAACGTTATAAGTCGCTTGCAATGACTTCTGCAATTCGTTCGTGTGCACCCGCTCATTGGCTAAGGAGCGCTCTATTTTTTGAAGACGTGCACTCATGTCTTCATTATCGCTCGACTCGATTTCGTTTTCCAGATCACGCGCTTCGAAAGCATCATCATCTTCAATGCCTATTGAATATATATATTTTTTTTTTATTTACATGCATTAGGGTGCCCCAAGAAAAAAAGATGCCGCTTCCCCAAGCGCAACAGACTATTGGGTATTTTTATGCCCGAAAGCAAAATTGCTATTACGTCCGAAGGCGATGTCTATATTTTAATAACTCTAATGTGTGGGCGCTGATGGAACATCTCTGATAGTTAAATTGTTCAAGTAAATCCACTAACGGTGGCGGTAGAAAAAGGGGCGTTTGACAAATAGATTTGCATCAAAGTTCTAATAAGTTCAAAAGAATTAATTTTTTTCGACAACTTTTTTATTATGAAAAATTGTTTTAATTTTTCATCCGATTTTTCAAGGAAAATATTTGTCTGATTTGTTTTGGGCTAAAATATTTCAACATGGAGCAGAATTCATGTAAATCTCTAAGAACCAATTTCAGATGAGCAAATTTAAGTGCCGATCGATGACTAAAAAATATCGATTTTCAAATCAAATATTTAAACTGTATTTAAATGTCCAATGTCGGCTATTCAAATATGGAAAATGTAATCATGATTTTGAATACGAATTCATAACACGGCCAACAAAAGGAAGAGCTTTCGAGAGCTTTAGAATCAGTCGGTCAAATTATTCACTTATCAAAACTATCAAAAAACGAATTTTTCAAATTTATAGCTTTTGAGTAGAATAACGATACAATGAGGCATTTTCTGAACAGCAAAAAGGGAAAGCTTCAGGGGCCGTTTTCTCAAGTAACTTGTAACTTTAACGCTCACTTTATATTTAAAGATTGCATTAAAATTTATGATTGTGTCTAAAGTAAAGCATTTTACTATCTAAAACGGATTGATTTACAACCAAGAAACATAAATAAGTCATAAACCGATAATAGAAATGCTTAACTTTAAACATTGCTTTACTTTTGATCCAATTTTTAAATATAAAGTTAGCTTTAAACTTATCCCGAAATTCGGTTCCGCAAACATTAGTCACAAAACCAATTTTTGACATTCATACGAACTTCTTAAAAATTGTCTTATTGTAGGTCTTAATAAGCCTTTCAAAGTATGTTTCAAATTCTATCAACGAAAACATAAAAGATGTGTCCAGATTGGATTAAAGGTGGAATTTATTCTTTTCAACATTTCAATCCACTTACATTTCTCCAATAATTTCCACATTTTCGAACATTTGACAGACAAATTTAGATACTAAGGGGCAACTATTTAGTACAAAATTTAAATTAATTTGATAAAATGAAGTAAAATTGGTAGTTTTGAATACAAGTTTAAAGGCTTAAGGTTAAAAAAATATAATTGTGTACCTTTTTAGCTAACAGACCAATATTCTAGCTTTAATTCTATACTGGTCAAGAGATCATACTCCAAGTCTATATCTTTCTAGAGGAAATAAAAAATGCCGAAAATAACTTAACGGGCAGTTTCTGATTCTACGGAAGAAGTTATATAAGAACCAGTGATCATTGCCACAAGAAGTTGTTGAAATTTTGTTGAGCTGTGTAATTAACTTAAATGTCATCTAAATTTTGACCTAAATTGGGCCTTACTTATACTATGTATGCATGTTTTTTTTTTATTTTTCAGACAAACTTCTGGGAAAGAAGGATTTTTTTTTTCACGAAAAATGCGATGTCTTGACATATTTTTAACGCCGTACCGCTCAAGAGTAATTCTAAATGAAGGCTAAATATTTTGGTGGGAAGTCATAAAATCGAACCGATTTTAATTCGCTAGGGGAAGGAGAATCGATTTTTCTTTGTATGGGGCTTGAGGAAATCTGATGTACATACATATGTACATATATGCGCTCATGCATATGAATCTTACCATTTTTTTTGCAGCTTTGTTGATCCGGTTGTAGAACGAAACCTTCACGGCATTTGCAAAAGTATGAGCCAACTGTGTTGATGCACGTCTGGTCGCAGGGTTTCTCCTCTTCGCACTCATTTACATCGTGCTCGCAGAACTGCCCTGTGAACCCCAGTGAGCAACTGCAGACATCAGGAGCTGTGCAGGTGCCCCCATTCTGGCAAGGATTTGTGCAAACCGCTATCCACATAAAATGGAAGAATCACAGTACTCCGCAATAAAATATAAATAAATACTCATCAGTGCTTACGTTTTAGGCAAGAGTCCGACTGTGGCAGTTCACGCTCCCAACCGTTGCAGCAATCGTAGGTGACCTGTTGCGCTGATTTGTGGCGTATTACATCCCGAAAGGCCTGCTCGTGGACAAGCTGTACCCTCGTGCACATCTGGTTTGGGTTCTGTGTCTGCACCTGAACAGCGCTGCATGGCGTATTCACATGCTTCCAGATTGGTCTAGCGTAGACTTCAGTTGTCTTCACGGGCATGGTGATGGTACGCTGTTGCACGCAGATATGGCGTCTGCAATGAAAATGATATATAAATATGTCCATATGTAAGTATGTTTATGTATATGTATGCATGCATGTATGTATAAAAATTAGTTGACAGGCAGGCCTATTTATTACTATTCATACACTACTTGGAGCCTTTAATATTACAAATGTAGCTGCTAAGGGCGTGTGTCCAACAATGAGTCCAAGTTGCTTTTATTAGAGGAAAAAACCTCGAAGATATGTGAGAAATTAAACCTAGAAACGCACAGGTCCACAAGGCTAACGCATAGTCCTTCCTCTTGTTCTTTGTACAACTCTGAGAGTGGATGCCTGTATTAGCTTCTTATCCTCCACATTGCCCCCTGCGATGGGTCTTGCTGTAAATAGTACATTACCTTCCTTGAAAATAAATTTTATCTTAAATATGAATAAGCACAATGAGCTTTTAGCCTATATTCGGAACCTGAATTAACGGTTGAGTATATGTATGTATGTACATAAGAAGAAACTACGCTTACATAACAGTAAAATATCCTGCATCGTACATACATATGTACATGGGGAGAAATTCGCCAGTGTACCAGGTGAAAAAATTTATGTCACCGATTTCGTTGAAACTTTACTAAATTGTTGTCATTGATGCAAGTAATCAATGTTATGAATGATTTTTCTTTATCTTTCTTTCTTTTGAAGTTATGAGAGTTCGAATTTTTACGTTTTTGCACTTTTTCTTAAAATCACGAGTTTTCCCAAAATTCGTAACTTACGTCTAACTTACAATTGAGTATCCAAAATAAGTGACCTCATAGGATTTTTCCCGGGCTTTCCGATATATATATAGCTCATTTCGATAGCTTATTTTCTAAGCTTTGCAACAATATATAAATTGTTATGGGATCGACATGTGGAACAGAAGTTTGTCCTATCAGAATGCTTGCTAACTATTGAGGCAGAACTGTTTGATTGGAATTTCAGTTGTAATTTAAATTCTTTAAACGTTAAAAACTTTCAAAGACAATAGCTCTGATCCAGTACTCCATGAACTTACAGGATTTTACACGAAATTGCAGGAAGTTGCAGGAAAAATGTTCCCGTACTCCAAAATCCTGTAAATGAGAGCATCTTTTGGAGAGTTGTGTAGAGAATGGAGTTGCAAGATTTTACCCGAACTTTTTCTTCTGGTAAAATCATGAAAAGTGTCAAGCAATCACTGGTTGACGTTTTTACGGGAAAAATGGTTTTTTTGTTCCCGTACTTTTTGTTGTTACTCACTTTTTACTCTCACTTCAGAGAGTAATTTTGCTGTTTGACAGTTTTACAGGATTTTTCACGAAAAGTATTGGATCAGAGCTAATAGTTTGTGAGCTTTGGCTAGATGGCGCCAAAAGTCATCACCTGACGCCGCAGTGGGTTCCATTTAAACATATTTGTTGCATTGTTTGACTTTCGCAAAATATGCAGAGCAAAATTACGTTAACAGTTAAACTTCAATATTAGAGGACACCAGAACAGGAAGCATCAATTATGTGAAGTAGTGAATATGGCAGACAGAGTGAAATTTTCATCGCATTGCGCTAATCCTTATAACCTCAAATTTCAAATTTGTGTTCATTCATACTTTTCTCAGTATTTATGAATGTTTGTGAAAATATACCTTAGATAGTACATTTACTTATGACCCATAACAATTTATATATTGTTGCGAAAATTAGAAAATAAGCTATCGAAATGAGCTTTTTTGAAAAAAATTCGAAACCATACATTGTTTAAAAATTCAAAAATATTTTTTTTTGCAAAATTTGTGCAAAAAAAATATTCTTATAAAAAAATGATTGTCATTATCGGAAAGCGCGGGAAAAATCCTATGAGGTCACTTATTTTGGATACTCAATTGTAAGTTAGACGTAAGTTACGAATTTTAGGAAAACTCGTGATTTTAAGAAAAGATGCAAAAACGTAAAAATTCGAACTCTCATAACTTTAAAAGAAAAATCCTTCATAACATTGATTACTTGCATCAATGACAACAATTTAGTAAAGTTTCAACATACATAATCGGACATACATACATACATTTTAGGCATTTATGCACATACATGCATATGTATGTACATATATAGATACCCTGCAGGGAAAGCTACTAGTTGTATATATATATACATATACATATACATATGTATGAGTGTGAATATGGATGACCACAAAATTAATTAAAATTTAAGTGTTATGAAGTGTTATGAATTATAATAACGCTAATAACATACATACATACATACATATGTGAGCGAGCTCTTACGTAATAAAAGGCTCTTGGTTGAAATGGGTGTGAAAGTACATATGTACATAAAGCTGAGTGCCTTAGAGCTGTCGCATTCCATTGTAGATCAGTCAAAACCAGTTATGCAACCAAAACGGAATGGGTATAAATTTATGAATCCATCAATCAACAAATATTCACCTCGAAAGGAGCAATTCGCGCGAAGACTGGAATTTTGAAAGTTGAACGAATACATAGTACATACAACCCCTTGTAATGACTGGACTCAGATAATCAAAGAATAAACTATAGTTCAAAACAATTTTATAAGTATAACACTGTTTAAAATAAAATGAGGAAAATGACGCGGGAGCTTGAGTAGGCCCTGTGTTCGAAGCAAGCTTTACTCGTCGATTCTCAGTCAGAGTTGTATAGTACGGACCTAGTAGTCGAGTGGTTAACATTTTCTAGACGAAACGGTGTGACAGACGATAAATATCGATGTAGCCACCATTAAGCAGATATCGGGCTCAATGCCAGGTCAACGATGTTTTTCTTTTTTTTTACTTTTAAAAGGGTAACCTACTTATTCGATATAAAATAGTAGCTTGGTTTTCTAATTCGAGTTTTCTTCTTAATTAAAAAAAATATATATATTTGGATAACTTAAATTTTTCTAACCATATCTCGACTGCTGAGTGGAAGATCGATCTATTTCGGCAGCCAGTTCGAAAACGACCAATCTCAAAAAACTTTTCAAAAACGTCCTATTTCAGAATTTGGTTGAAGAACGCCCTATATCAGCACATTTTCAATACATTTTGAAGTGAGATAAGGCATTTTTGAATCGAATTCTGAAATAGGGCGTTATTCAACCAAATTCTGAAATAAAGTGTTTTTCAATAAAATTCTGAAATAGGGCGTTCATGAAAAGTTTTTTTGGGGTAGGGCGTATTCGAACTGGCTGCCGAGATAGATCGATCTTCCACTCAGCAGTCGATACAGGGATGTACAGGGTGTCCGGTGGCAGAATTCGGCTTTAGATTTTAAGTTTCTCTCCAACCGCTGCGCATATGGGCGGAGAGGGCACCGCGTTAGCTTCGTTATTCGGGCGGGTTATTTAGTCACGATGTTGCAGTGGACGCGTGAACAACGTGCGTTAGCAATCGAAGAGTATTTTAATGCCAATGATTCGTGTGCAACTGCTCGTCGTAGATTTTGTTTACGTTACAATATTCGAGGACCAGAGAGACCATGTCCATACTGTATGATTTCTTCCCTAACAAATTGATAAACCGTTTCTGTGGCATATCCTGGCCAACCAGGTCGCCCGATTTTACCCCTATGGGTTTTTTTCTGTGGGGGTACATCAAAAGTAAAGTCTATGAGGTATCCCAACATAACTTCTTCAGCGAGTGGCACGGAGTACGGAGGCCAGATTTCAAGAGTATATCCGACGAAACAGTCAAAATTTAGAGGACATTTAAAAAAAAAAATAAAATCCGCACTTGTCTTTGCAATAGTTATTGAAATAAACTTTTATCGTTAGTAATTCTTTTTTAACCGGACACCCTGTATTTACATAAAAACACCTCTTCATTTAAATATGTAACGTGAAGACGCCTTACCACAATTTGCTCGGCAGAAAGAAATTTGGCTCGAACAATGACGCAAACGGAATCCTACTTTGAAAGATGCGAGAAATCTTATCAAGAAATTAGAAAACGTGTGGGAAAAGGAAATCAAATAGTATTTAGTAAATAAAGAGTGATATTATAGCCAAAACAATTAGCAGAAAACGAAAAAAGGCGATCAATTAGAAAGAAAGGAGTGGCAGCGCTGGAAAGGGTCGGTCCCAAATGTTAAATTACGCAGCCAGCTTTTGGCACGCCACGCCATCCGCAAACATTTGCACTCATTCTCGATGTGAAGCGAACAATTCTGCAACAGTTGCGGAGGACATTTTTTTCTTTTTAATCTTCTCGCCTTGGGCCCCCCTCATCAGCAGTTTAATACTACTTTCATTAGTGCATTATGTTGCCCGAAACAGCTGCAATGGCAATTCGAAGTGTTCTCGGGGGCTACAACCCGCAGCACAATTATAAATAACTTGTGTGCGAACATAAATATGTATGTACATATGTACATGACATTAGACTGCTTTCCCAAACGTATGTTAGTTAAGCTTGATCATTTTATAAGCCCCAACAAAAAATAATTCGGCTCAACTCAGCGCCATTCGTAAGCTGAACTGCGTTGAAAATATGCATACATAAATAAATATCGAACTCTTATTGCAACATTTTTATATTGCCAAACTTTTTTTTCCAAAAAATGATCTGAAAATATATAAAATTAAAAGGTGTGCATTTAAAAAAAAAATCTCATACAATTTCGCAATGTAAGTTTTATGAAAATGTAAATGACTCAGGCATGAACACATAGTTTTCCCTCTTATAAAATAACGAAAAATCAAATCTAAAACTTTAAGATAAATTTATTCAGTAAAAAACTTGGGATGTATGCAAATGAGTTAATTTTTTAGCTATAGTGTATGAAAATCGCAGTATGTACATACATACATACATTAGAAAGGGTCTAGGAAAGAATGTTACTCATACGTCATGTATGAACTATTAATGAAATCATAAATAAGTAATGATTACGCATTTTGATTTGACATTTTGATTTGCAACTTTATTTATCAATCAATTTTCTTCGTTGATAGCTTGAGGGCTTTAACATAAATAGCAAAAGAATTTACAAAA